ATAGGTGAAAAAATTGTCTGGAAAATATTACTTTTGCTACCTCACTTTCGATTTCGACACCAACACCAATATTCAAACGATATGTTAAACACTACATTTCATTAATTAAATCCGAAAGTTCAACCCGAATTACTCTGTCTCAGATTAAGCCGTTTTGTCATTATTTCCACTGAATCCCTAGATTAATAATTGGTGCGACACTCTTTTTTGGTCGACGTATGCAAATGATAAACGTGGTGAGGACGCCGTCAACATTAATCCGAGAGAAAGTTTAAAACGTGATCTTCAAGTAAATGAATGAAAGCAAAATTGATGTGGGTACCCGAAAATGTTCTGAGGAAAAATCCGACTTGAAAAAATGGACATCTCAAGTCCTGTCATCCGGTTATCTTTTTGTCATAAAAGACCTCAAATCGGTTAATCGGTACAGGAAACAACATCAGAGGGCTTCAGAAGATACAGAGCTAGACTAGGCACAAGTAAAGAATTTATGTGTTTAATTTGGATAATGCCAGGAATGTTGGTAACCCTGGATTACGGAAACGAAACAAAAATTAATTACCACCAGAGGAATAAAGCGGTTTCGTGCATCATTTACGAGGGAAAATAGGGAAAAAGGATGTTTTAGCAATCTCACTAAACTCGATAAAAACTACATCATCAATATCCTTTCGTTAGACACGCCACCAGCTTGTTCTTCATTAGCATACATCACTTCCGGACATATCTTGCACCGAAATGAATAATTTATAAGTGAAACGTAGCTTTTTCTCATTTTTTCGAATAAAAATCCTTTTAATTCGCTGGCGAATACGTGACATTTTTACAGAAAGCATTTGAATATATGTTGGTACACCTGTGTCCACTCATGTAATATATTCTTTGAAAAATCACTCCAACATCTTTAAATGTCAAAGTCCCAAAGTAGTCTGAAAAAGCACAATATAGGTTACTCCCGTATCCAAGCAAACTCCACGAATTGTTTTCATCCCATTCGATACAATATCTCCATTGTTTGTCTTCTGTTGATGTCTATGTGAAAAAATAACACAATCCTTTTTGTGTTTGGAGGAATTTTTCCTCAGTTAAACCTGTTTGCGAATTCTAATTCTCAATCTTTTCAGGAATGCACAAACAAAAACTTCATTGCAGTTATAAAAATCTGGTGTGAACATCACACGACTTTCCTTATCCTTATCCTTTTAATTTTCATCTAGCCAGCTGTGAATTTTCCATGTAAAATAAAAAATGCCGCTTTACGAAAATAGGGGTACCTACTTGTTTTAACTCAAAATTAAAAAATCGCCGTTTACAAAGCGTATATAAACTTAGTTTCTTCCAAAGTATACATTATTATCAATTATTATTGGAAATTAGTTGAAACAATAAAAGTTTAATTAACAACAATTTATTATTAATTAATAAGTGACACTAATGACAGATATAGAGCTTTCAAAAAAAGTAGAGCGGCACAAATAAAGTTACATGCAAAAAAATTCCAAAGCTGGCTAGATGAAGATCATTTATAACCACTCTGTACTTTCAACCGTATAATTTTGCGGCGGCTTTACGGCCCACTTTTGGTCTTTGCGGTCGAACGGTGCGACCGAGTTTTACCAATTGTTTCGTGCTACGTCACCTTGCTACAAGTAACTTACATACCAAATTTTAAGTTTTTAGCTCTTATCGTTTTTGAGATATGCTGTTTACAGACAGACAGACACACACATACACGACCCAATGGACCAAACCAACTTTTTTAGTGTCTCGAAGCTATAATTCGTCCAGAAATGTAAAATATAGGTCAAATTTCAGCCGATTACAATACTTTCCTTATAGAATTCAATCTTGTTTCGGTTGTCGACATAAATCATGCAATACAGGTTGTCTTAGAACTCGAGCCCCAGAGAAAAATGCCTAGTAAGATAAATAAAAACAAAACAAAAAAATACGTATCAATGGAGAAAATTGTACTTAGTTTTAAATACTTTTAACAAGATCTTTTTTAAATATCTTATAAGATAGTGATCGCAAAAACCGGCGCGATGAGCAAACAAATATTAGAATGGTTTGCTACCTTTATTGAAATTGTTGTTAGAATGTTGAGAATTGCCTTTTTCGGTAAATTTATGAATAAAAGTTTATGAATTGTGTTTTGTAGTAATTAGTTATGGTTGCCTGATGGCGCAAAAAATTTAAGCACATAAAGTTTTAGTTCCAGGTTTGTAAGTAACAACGATTAAAAGATAAGTTTACAATATGAGAATATGACAATCCAGCAAAAATTGGGCTCACTATTTGTACGCTTTTTTTTTAAATAGAAGTGTACATGCTGTTTGTGTGCAAAATAATTGTGCAATTTAAAGACTTGAGTTCTGTCAACCAAATAACTTAACATATAGCCGGATACGTAGTATACTAGTATAACGAAACGAAGTCCCTTGCAGTGGATTTACAATATTGCCTGACCAAGTTCCAAGCAATCGATGCTCGTTTGATGGTAATTATGCTCGATAAATTTTAGGGCTTATGTAGATTTAAAAAGTCTATCAATTTTAGATAAACTTCAGCTAAATCATGCAGGAATTAGGTTACTTAGATCGAAATAATGATAAATGGTTCAAATCGATTAGTTGCACAATTTAGTAAGTCAAATCAGAGTTTTTTATGCCCTATGGTTGCTACTCTAGTCATTTATCATGGAAAGGTCGTACTGTTTTTATAGTTTGTAGTAAAAATCCCTAAGTTGGTACTTAACTAAAGCACTTGCCGTTAACTAAAAAACATAAAAGTTTTGAGCGATTGAAACCGGAATAAATAAAGTCCTTGTTTACAAACTTAACTAAGCAAAATTAGTTTGATTGTTTAGTTTGGTATGTCTTGATGTACTTATAGATATTGGTCCTGCAGTAATAATTTCAAACATAAATTCTATAGATTGCTCCAATAAAATGTACATTTATCAAGTGAATACAAAATGTTTAAGCCAATGAGACATTGAAATTAGGTGTCATCATAAAATTTACCGTTTTTCACTCGAATTGGATGTCTGTATCTGTAAGCGTCTCTCTCATCCTTTTAAAAGTCTCACATTAAACGAAATAGATTATTTTAGTTTTATTAATTATTGCTTAGTTGAAATCGTTAAAGAAAAAAGATTACACAGCTAAACAAAAAAAACACAATTCAGCAGAAAAAACACACCTTAAGAAAAGCACGTTCTCTTTAGCACAACATTCTTTAGTAAACAGATAGCACTAATAACGAAAAAAACGGTCAGTGAGAGATGAGAGTGCATTGGCGATTTGTGGCCCATTTGTAACAAAAGCCACCATAACAATCTCTTGCCTACAAAGAAACGTGCAAAGAAGGCCGAATTAATTATTCCTGTATTACACTACAGACTAATTAGAGCAGTTTGTAACCGGAGTATCGTTCCACTAGAGAATTTGTTGTGTTGTGCGGAAAAAATGGATAATGTAGTCATGCTTTTTTGACAGATCGCATTGGAAAAAGAGTGACACATGAAGTGAGGAAATAATGGCCACTCGTCATTAAAGTGGTGCGTCCAATTTATTATCGTGCGGAAAATAATTCAAATCGATGCAAGACTGATGAAAAAAGTAGTTAAAAAAGGTGTTTTTGATGAAAATCAAATTATGTCCAATCAAATTGACGGTTTTGGAAGGCTTCGCCTCCTCAAGTAAAATTAATTCTATTATTTACCAACTAACCACGAATAGTTCATTTATAGAATTTCTCAAACTCAATTTTACTGGATAACAAATAAATAACAATAATATTATAAAGGGTGTTTTTCATAATTTTACGAGGCCTGCGCCTGTAAGATGCAATCAATGATACATATTCCGATACAAACTCGATTACAAATTTTAAAAAAATTGGATAATCGTCTCTAGTTTGTTCACCCTTTCAAAAATTACAGCGTTTTTAGTTAGTTAGTGATTAAGATAGGTAAACTAAAATGATATTCATGCCGTTTCTTGATAGAACAAATGATAATTGTTTCTGAAAAACTGTAGTTTATGAGTAATAATGAAACAGTGATTAGTTTGACAACTACTGTTATGGGTTTCCAAAAATTAAATAATTAAATGTGTATTTTTTGTATTTAGTGTTTTGTGACTTTTGTAGATTTGGGTACGTACATTAAGCGCAAGCCTCGGAAAGCTTTGTGAAACACCCTGTAGATACTAATCTGAAACTGTTTAAAAATCTGTTAAATAATCATTTTATTACTATTTAGTTTTTTTATTTTTTTTGCATATTTCAAATTGTAATAATAAGTAGTAATTTACGTTATACCTAAATTAAACGTAGTTATTAAAGTGAACTGTTTTTAGTAATTTTGCAGTAAGCAATAACCCGCAAATTTAACTAAACAAATCTCAAATGAGAGTATACAGAAACCCACAGCTCTTGAATTAATACAAGAGAATGATTCACATTCTTATTTTTTTCTATTTATTTCGAACATTAAACGTTATTTTTTGAGTGACATTATTTAAGTCCCAGCATTCAAATTAAAAAAAAATGTTCTGGTATTAACACCAAAGGATTCTTTGACAAAAACTCTTAACTAAACTTCCAAGGTACGGGCAACAAAGTTGTGGGAAGGCATGTTAATGTCACGCATTTAGCACAGATGGGGGTACATTATGTTGAAGCTTCATTTATTTCATCTCTTAGCTCAAGTTCATTAAAAATTTAATTCGTCGAATAAGAACGTAAATCTAATTGGATAAAGGGTTGGATCCATCAATCAGACTAAATGGTTGTGGGATTTGGGAGCAGGTGAAGGGTGGTAATGAGACCCGATTTTTCCGCGTGACACTTTTATTTCGTTGCCTTGATCAAGCTGTTGTTTTTGCAAAAATCACAACAATAGCATTGATAAACATAATAATACGAAATAAAATTTTAATAGCCACCTTAATGATTGTTTTTTTCCGATTAATCAGCACCAATCAAGTATTTACCTTCGTCATCGGTGGCAAAGATAGTTCATGCACCAATTTCCGGCGACTCTGCTTCGCTTCCAGACCGCCACATCCGGCAAACTTTAAAGTGAGTGGAAAAAAGTTTGCAACTTCCGACAACTCTCACACAGCGTCCTTTTCATTTTCTTAAAACTTCTTCCCAAATTGGTGCACCTCGAGCTGCTGCTGGCTGCTGGTGGGGGTGCCGAATCACGACTGCGACTTCCACGATATGTTGAGGCACAGCGCGCAAAATCACCGAATTTTATTGCAAAATATGAATCGTTTCGAAATTGAAGTTTTTAATAGCGACTTATTCAAGAATTGTTATGTTTGCAAGTTTACCATTGGTTGGGTCAGCTGATGATTAGGCGATTAGGCATTATTTGTAGCAAAACAAAATTAACAGCAACTTGCACGTAAATCGGTAATTATCGTCTGCAGCCCACGGGTAGGGGTATACTGTCGATCTTCTTTCATTTCGGAAAATTGCTTCTTTCACTCCTTTGATTTCTAATCAAACCTCATCAAAAGCAATCAAAAATGCCGAAAATTTTTATTAAACAGTTCTGATTTTACAACTTGATTAGTGATTATTATTGATTACACCAGTTATACTTGAAATAATGACATTTTTTCCTTGTAATTATTCTAATCCTCCGAGTCAATAAATTAATTCCGGTATTATAATTTTCTGCACAGTGATTCAAATCTAAATTACTATTGATAGTAAGTGTCCAAAGTCAAACTTTTAAACGACGTTTTCACCCTCCTCGTTGTGAAAAGTCCCTTTCGGTTCGTTCACTTTAACGTTACAAACTTTCATTGCATATATCTCTACAAGAACTTTCCCACTGGGAGACCAAGATGAATGAAAATGTATTGAATAAAAAAATAAAAAAGACATTTCAGCTTTTACCAAGAAATTAGATAATAATATGTATAATACGAATATATGAAAAACTTACCCATAAATTATCAAAATTTAAAAAAGTTGCCAAAGGTATGGACTAACAGCTTCGTTTACACACCGACCTGCGGAAATCAAGGCTCTTCATTGAGGGCCCAGACTTGACACGCAGTGAACGCCTGATGAGTCTTGGGAGGAAAGACCTTCAATTAATCGTGAGCTTGTACACAGGACAGGCCTATTAAAACGACACCTGCATGTGATCGGCCTCACAGATGACGACCTCTTCAGGGGTTGTATGGAGGAGGACAGAACTCCACTCCACATTCACTGTTTCTGTCCAACAAATATCTGGGTTTCTGATATGCCGGTCTCAAGGTAATTAAAAATGTTACAACGGGAAGTTTACTGAGTTCATCAGAGCATAGGGCTTTCTTTGCAGTTTTTCTGGCTCTACCTGGAGGTTGTGCACAATGGGCCTTAGGTGCCACAGTACTTAGCTCGCCTAAGCGGACTCCTCCGGCTTCCATTTACTTTAATTTTAAGACTTTATTTCTTCATGCAATTATTTATTACAAATCAATTTTTGCAAATAAAATACAGTAGAATCTCATATTCCGAGAACGTCAACTATACGGTGTCCGGATTGAATTTACAATAAGAAAAAAATTTTATCTTTGATTTTGCAAAGGAAAAACTTTTTTTGCTTCTCCTGAAACGAGCAAATCTATAACTAAAATTTCATTATTCTGAATAAGTGGAAAGAAAAGTTCAGTTTTCTCTTGATTTTGGACTTATTATAATTAGTCAATAGTAGTGTTTTACTTCCTAAATAACAAAATGCATTTTGTTTTTTGACGACACGTATAGCTTGTTCCAAATCTGGTGGCGTACTTATCTTAACTAAGTGGGAGCACTCCAAGTGTCTTTTCTGTCACTGTCAGTTCGCCACCAGATATGGAATAAGCTCTACCTACCGTTTATTTGTTGCATTTTTTACCAATAATTATATAGCCATTTCCCAACCCATGTTTTTTTAAATTTTCTATTGCTCGTTCAGCAACTTCTCTAATAAGTTCACTATCACTATTAATATCGGACATTTTCCTACAGATATAGCCAAGGAACAAGCATAAACGACGTGACGTTATTTTAAGTATGTCCTTTGAAAAAAGAATATTTTGTTTATTGCTCATTTAATAAAAACGTAAAATGCAATTTCAAAATTTGATAAATTCTTTATTGACTTTCAGTTTTTTAAGAAGGATGATTGTAAATAAAATAGTATACAAACCTCGTGATCGTTCTTCAACGTATGTTTATTGCTAACCACTGAACTTCGCCCATTGATCATTAAATTTCGCCTTGATAATGAAGCACCTTCCACCTCGATATGTAATCTACTGCTTACGTTTTTTTTTTGTTTTACATTTCTAAACCTTTTTCTTTATTTCACGTCCCTGAAAAAAAAATAATAACTGTACAAGCAGTCTTTCCGACTCTTATATTCCCGTCTCCATGTTCCTCTATTTGTGTTACTCTTGAACTCCTCTTTGTTTTATTTGGAGTAATTTTATTCCATCAACTCTGTTAATCACATTAGTGAACTTACGTTAACTAGATATAGTTTAAGCATCATCAAGACATCACACAAACCTAATTACCTCAACAAACTGCTTTTGTGCCAACTAAAGTCTGTTTCTTTAAACGGAAATGTTGAACAGTCTTAACGTTGGCATCACTAGCAAATTCATTTGTGGTAATTTTATAGCTATTAAAACAACAAGAGTTTCATTGACAGTTTAAAAATTGGTTTAAATTTGAGCGACCATTGGGGTGCAAGAATTTAATAGACAGATTTTAAAAGTATACAAATTTTAAACTATATCAAATTTTTTTCCAGCACTACTATTGGATCAGAAATTCTATTAAATTCAGAAATTATTATAAAGAAATTTGACAAAATAATATCAAAATTTATAAAATGCCTAGATAAGTGTTGTTATTCACGACCTACTTTTTACATTTATATCTATCTTTTGCGTTAGACTTGCAGTACGCAATACTAGTGAGTTTTTGAACTTTTGTAATTTTCTCTAATTGACATGATTTTTTTTTCTGTCAAAACATTTTGTCTGTTCAAAAACATATGATGGCAATACCTCTGTTTATGACAGCATCTACTTTATACAGGCTGAGTCATTTATAATAATGATTCTGACCAATTTTTAGACGCAACCCAAAATACATTCTCACAGACAACTAGGTCTTTGTTACGTTTTCAAATTTTAAATCATTAAATTTAAATCAAAATAACTATTTATATGTCATTAATTAAATTTGAGAGTGTCATAAATTCTACGTTTTTGAATTTAAAATGTACCTACTCAAACGACAAAAAAATTGACATGATGTCGATAAGTGGAGAATGTTTCAAAAATGCTGTGACTAAATCTGTACCGTCAAAGATAGGACTCCAATTATAATAATAGGTAGGACTTCAATTTATAATAATTATCAAAGTTATCACAGGTATATGTTTATATCTTTGAAAAATTTCAAATAGAACATTAATTAACGCATAGTGGTATCTGAGAATGTATTTTGGGTTGCGTCTCAAAATCGGTTAGGGTCTTTATTATACAGTATGTTCCCGGATTGAATTTACAAGAGGAAAATTGCAAAGGAAAAACATTTTTTGCTTCACCTGAAACGATCAAATCTGAAATTAAAACTTCATTATTCTGATTCAGTGAAAAGAAAAAAAGTTAATTTTTCTTTTGATTTTGGACTTACTAGTGACATCATTGTCAAAAAATAAATCCGCTAATGTGATAGGATTTAAAAAGCAGAGAAAAATTATTATTATTATTATATAAGTCCAAAACCAAGAAATAAATTAACTTTTCTTTCTACTGAGTTAGAATAATGAAGTTTTAATTACAGTTTTGCTCGTTTCAAGTAAAGCAAAAAATATTTTTCCTTTCAAGTTTTGGAGTAAAATCAAAAAAAAAAAATTTTTCCTCTTGTAAACTCAATCCGGGAACATACTGTATATGATTCACTCTAGCAACCGGGCCTTAGTGTTGGAAAAAAATTAAAACGTCCATCAACTTTCAGCTCATTTCAAATGACTTACTCAAAATTTATTACCAGTTTTCATAATATACCTACCTGTATGTAAAAACTTTTCAACTTAAAAACATAATCATAATTTTTTAACGAAATTCCTAAAGTCGGGTTCACAGTACTGTAATGTAACGTGTAATGTAACGCAAATAATAAACCGGGTACACACTCCTATAATGTAACTTGTAATGTACGAATTCTTGGAGTGAATGCTGTGTTCCACAAACACCCCAGTCTGTTATCACTTATCTGTTTCTTGCAAAGATGCGATACAAGCCGCTCGCTGAGCATTTATTCCGTCAAAACGCTCGTTGCGAACGCCTTTGTACTCGCATTAAATACTGATGGAACGCTGCGAACCGTTCGTTGAGCATTACGCGTACACACTGACGAACAGCGCTATACTTTACATGTTATTCTACGGTAGTGTGTACCCGGCTTAAACAGGGACAAAAACAAAAAACAAACCAAATTGGTGGCCAAGAGATTATAGTTATTAATAATAATACGAGACTTATTTACTTATTTCTTCGAAAAATTATATTGAATCTTTTACAACATGTCGTCAAGTCAAATGTTTTTAAAAAACTAGCTTTTGTCTTTCAACGCAGTCGCTACAAGCTAAGCTGCTACCAATTTTCTGAGCAGACTTTTGACTCCATTTAATTTTCGTTTAATTAAAAATAGACTTTACCATAATTCACATTTTTTCTCAAATCTGTAGGTATTATGCAAATAAATCCAATAATCCTTTACAGGTGATAGCCAAAGCGAATCGATTTTTATAGTCCGGCTTTAATTCATTATAAAATCAATTAGCTGTATATGCCAAAGCAACGATTTTAATCCAAAAAAGCTACCAGACGAGGTTACTAAACAACTCTCGGAGCCCCTGTGTACTCGATAAGTGTTGAGTGGGGTTTCTCAAATATCGCCGTCAATGGGAAACCTCAAGAATCAACTCCAAACAAGACTTTCTCTTGGTGGTGATGACGTCGTGTTCGAATATTGCAATATAAATAAGTTGGGGCCTTTTCAAATTAGCATTTCTTGCTCAGAGATAGATCAGGGGGAATTGAAGCGTATATCTGAATTCGATTCGCCAGAGGGATGCAATCGCTTATCGTGACGGTTATTCCGAAAGACTCATCAAATTTAATCATTTACTTTTAGCTCTGCGGGTGATTTTTAAATTGCTGGTTACGCTAACCGATTTCGTTGTACCTAATTCGTATATGAAAGTTGTAAATAATGTACTTTGAAAGATTAATAAAGAGAAGTATTGATTTTGGATCAAATGGAATCGGAGAGATTAAATAGAAGGAATGTTGGAATATTGATACTGGGTTAAAACAGTGTTGGGAGAAAGCGCGTGCCGTCCGCTAAATCGCCAGTATTAACCCCATCCAGGTCGATACTACAGCTAAGTCTATAAGTTTTAAAAACTGTTTATAATGTACACGCAGCGAAAGACGAGTGCAAATTTGAAAAAACACAACTTAATAAATTTAAACAATCAAAGAGAAAAATAGTAATAATAACAGATAGTATTTATACAGAGTGATTATAAATGATTTTCATCTAGCCAGCTGTGAATTTTCAATGTAAAATAAAAAATGCCGCTTTACGAAAATAGGGGTACCTACTTGTTTTAACTCAAAATTAAAAAATCGCCGTTTACTAAGCGTCCACTTCGAAAATAGAAATAAATTATAAACTTGTTCTCTTCCAAAGTATACGTTATTATCAATTATTATTGGAAATTAGTTGAAACAATAAAAGTTTAATTAACAACAATTTATTATTAATTAATAAGTGACACTAATGACAGAACTAGAGCTTTCAAAAAAGTAGAGCGGCACAAATAAAGTTACGTACAAAAAAATTCCAAAGCTGGCTAGATGAAAATCATTTATAACCACTCTGTATTATCTATACTATACCTACTATAACTATACAGGGTGTTTCACATAATTTTACGAGGCCTGCGCAATCAATAATACAAATTCCGTTACGAACTCGATTACAAATTTTGAAAAATTGGATAATCTTCTCTATTTTGTTCACCCTTAAAAAATTTCAACGTTTTTTGTTGGTTAGTGATTAAGATAGATAAACTAGAATCATATTCAGGCCATCTCTTGATAAAACAAATGATAATTGTTTCTGGAAGACTGCAGTTTATGACTATTAATGAAACAGTGATTAGTTTGACAACTACTGTCAAGGATTTCTAAAAATTAAATAATTAGATGTGTATTTTTTGTATCCAGTGTTTTGTGACTTTTGTATATTTGAGTGCATACATTAGGCGCAAGCCTCGCAAAGTTGTGTGAAACCCCTGTATTCATATTTGCGTTTTTTTATAATCCAGCCTGATTGTATTTTGTTACAATCTAACTTTATTTGATTTGTAAAATTTTGTGCCCCTCGTAAGTTTTTGTCAATTTAGCAATTTAGCCGCAATTTTTTTTGTTTTTGATTTTCATGTTTTATCCTCATTTTGCAAATTTAGTAGTTATTTTCGTTACAAGTACCTAAAATATAAATAATTTTTGGGGACGAATCGTTGCTGTTTCCGGACGAGGCGAAGCTGAGTTTGGAATAGCAGATGAGTCCGTAAAAACGTTTTAAGTACATGTACATACAACATTTTTTTTTGTTAAAGCTCCCAAAAAACGAAACATTTTATTCTTCGAATTAGACTCAACAAGGCTTAAAATTGCTTTAAATCTGACGTTCAGCTAAGGTATAAAAATCGTGTAAACCAGTGTTATTAATTAAAAAAAAAAAATTCGCTAGCGTATTGAATAAAGTTATTAAACTTGATTTATTTTCTTCTCCGCACTTAAGTGTGATAACTACAACAGAACGCGCTAATATTAATTACCATTAAAAATTTAAAGTTTAATGTTTCAACCAACATCACTTCATCAAGAAACGTTCAAATATTTAGAGCGGTGGATATACAGGGTGTCAGAACTCGCGCCCCAAAAAAAAAATTTCAATTAAGATAAAATACTAGGAACATGGAAAAAAAGCCACAAATAACATTAAACAAAGTTACAATTTAGGATATAGCTTCTTTGTTTCCTCTTCTAATAGCCTGTAGCAAAAAACCTTTAAAAATTATTTTTCCAACAGAAATAAATAGAGTCAAAGTGCAAAATTTAAACTCTCATAATTATCTTTGAAAGTTTGGTAGATAGATTATTATTTTTAACATTTTTTTCCAAGTTTCTTACATGACACTTTTCCCTGGGGCGCGTGTTCTGGCGCACCTGTATTCCCATAATGTAGAAACGATTGAACATCTAATATTACTTCTTATAACTCATAAATCAGTTATAAAAGAAACAAAGAAGAAAACAAAAACGGATAAGTGTTAGGAAATGAAAATGGAGGAATTATTTTAAGATAAACGTCAAAAGACGGAATAACTGGAAATGAATTTCAAACATCTACTGCAAACATTTATTTAAGTAATCTTTGTTCAGGGGAATGTTTTAGCCTCATTATTAAATATTTTGGGAATTTTGTTTTCAATTATGTGTTTATATTGTCTGGTTCACGTTTATTGTGTAGTTTAACCAAACATAACATTTTAGCTGTACATCAGGGTGATTCAGATAAGATAATGAGCCCGACGTTCTGGCGATGCAACCCAAAAAACAAATTTCACGTCTTGATCTAATTTTAGTTACGATTTGCATTTACAGTTGGAGACAAAATACTTTGGTCGTCAATGTCACTTGAGTGACACTAAATGGTAAAGCATGCTTTAGGACTGTTAACCTTATTTTTAGCTACTGTCAAGTTGTAGGTACATATTTTTGATAGAAATATATAATAGCTGTCATTAATTTGAAATTGTCATTTATTTTAACGTTAAAGGTTGAATTACATTAAAGTGTCAGAAAAGTGACGACCAAAGTATTTTGTCTCCAACTGTACAATCCAAGTTACCTCATGTTGCTCTGACAGTGCAATTTATGATTTATAAAAAAAAACTATTTGCCTACCTTTAATATTTCATTCTTTCATACATTTTGTATTGGGTTAACGCTGCAAAGACTGCGCTAATTTCTCTATTATTCCGCGAGAACTTAATGTCACTAAATCCTCGGCACTGATGTCAGAGTGACATAAAATGATAACTTGGATTCAACTTGCAAACCCTAATTTAAATTGGATCAAAGGTGTAAATAAAAGTTTTTTGGGTTGCATCCCGAGATCGTCATGCTCATTATCTTATATAAATCGCCCTATATTTATAGCTACATAAAACTTCAACAGTGATCTAAAATGCTAATACCCTAAAGTGATATTTGAGTAGGCACCACGCAGAGTGGTTACCTATTTTAAATTCAACATGGCGTCACTTTTAATCTCTTCCGAACATGTTTCCATACGTACAACAGGGATCTGAGATTATGACTCATTACCTAATATTTACGACAAAATTAAAATTATCCAAAAACAAAAGTCACAAATAAGTATTTATGCGATTGGACACCTGTTGCATAAGTTAGATGAAAAAAATAAATTAGGTGGACAACCTGTTGATAGGCGAGTTTCACGGTAAAAGAGCGGCATCTCGCGAGACGAGTAGAGGACGGGAGAAAATTTCTGTAGATTTATAGGAAATCCAGGGTGATTTTAAAGTAGGAAAGTCTTATTTTTTTCATACAAATCTTAGTTTTGAGCTTTGAAACTAATGAAAAATTAAAAAAAAAATTTTTCATGCTTCAAATTTATAATTTTCAAATCTGTTGTTCGTCATCTGTGTATGATTTTTTTTAGCTAACCATGGTACATTTCTTATTAATTATTGAACATTTTAATTTTGAATAATACCAGTAAAATAAAAGTTTTAACAATGTTCACAATAATTTTGCATCATATTCTTTACGTACCAAATAAAAGCTTGAAATATTAAAAAAAAATTGTTTGTACTTACCAAAATACACAATTAACAAAAGACGAAAAAAAAACCATTTGATTTATGCTTGCTAATGGCCGTTTTTTCGTTTGGTATGGGTAAGTGTAAGGAAAATTAAAGTACGCTACTGATGACATGCAACCCCTACGTCAAGCATGCGGCTTACAAATTTGGTGTTACTGGGCCATTATATTGGTGTGTACCTCTTAGAAAAATGGAATCTACCTTTACTTTTTTTCATATTTATCCAAGCTGAGGTTACTAAAAGTATACAGGTGCGCCAGAACTCGCGCCCCAGAGAAAAAAAATAGAATAATCTGGTTTTACTGCGGAAGACAAAATTTATTTTTCAGTTTTAATGTTAGAAGAACGGTTGGATCCCATTAACCCTCTTTACAAACCGTTTATTAAAAATTGTTGGACCTAACATTAATTCAGATGCACAAAACCCACTGAAAATCTTTTAATTTATAATTCCATTACGTAGTTATACATCTCGCGATGTGACAAAACCTTTTCAGATGCAGAACTTGTATTTCGGATGAATAAATACTTTAATTATTGAAATAATTGAGTAAGTGGGAGTTTTTTTTTTATATTGAATCATCTTAAATTTTGTTGTGAGAGTGCCAATTTGAACTGAGAGTAAAATGTTAAAATGTCTCACATAGATTTAAAAAAATATTATATGCTGCAAAGATAGAAAACGCGCGCAAATACAGTGGTTAATTCTTGCAATTCTCAAGGCCGAAGATGTTGACAACAAGAAGTACGGTAGACTTGGTACGGTTGCAACAAAGAACGGTTGAAACAGAGCTAATATTTCTGGTACCGTTTGGGGTAAGAAAGGGATGCAAGTTGAAATTTATTTTTTGGGTTGCATCGCCAGATCGCCAGGCTCATTATCTTATCTGAATTGCCCTGTATACAGGGTGCGCCAAAACTCGCGCCCCTAAGAAAAATGGTATACGTAGGGTAAGATACCAGGAACATGGAAAAAATGTTAAAGAAATTTTATCTATAAAAATTTCGAAGTTATGAGGGTTTAAAGTTTGCACTTTGACTCTACTTATTACTGTTGGAAAAATAATTTTACAAGTTTTTTTGCTATAGGCTATTAAAAGAGGAAACAAGGAAGCTGTATCCTAAATTGTAACTCTTGTTCAATGTTATTTGTGGCTTTTATTGGCAAAATTTTTGTCCCTTTACTAAATAGTTATAAAAAAAACATAAACAAGATCATCAGTATCATTAAATAGATATAAAAAAATGTGTAATGTCAAAAAATATATGTCAAAATTTTTTGACAGATAGAATTTTTTAAACATTTTTTTCATGTTCCTGGTATCTTACCTTACTTGAAAATTTTCTCTGAGGCGCGAGTTCTGGCGCAGCCTGTATATCACCTGTTGGATGCAGAAATAGCTAAAGTCACAAAATGTAAATTTTACAGGAGAGCATTTTTTTTAGTTTGTAAATAATAGAGATTGTTAGTTTGAAATTAGTTTAAATATCTCTTGGTATACTATTATAGTTGGACTTAAACTAGTTCTGCAGACAGACACAGCGATCTGCGAGATAGTATTTCAAGTCCAAAACCGGCAAAAATGGACTTAAGCTAGTTCTGCATCCAACAAGCGATATTAACTTACCAAAAATGAATAATCACACAAAGATCAGCTTTTACCATAAAATCTGTATTTTTTTCTGCATTACTATGTTAAACATTTCCCTTATTCTGCACTTACTTAGCGGAAAATGTATTTTCTTGAAATAATTCATAACAATAAATATTGAAACAAACCGGACATAGTATATTATAATACTAGTTTATAAGTAAGTCTTTAAAACACGCACGACGGGTTTATTCGTTAAACTTGTTTCCAAGAACCGATTTCATGCCTATTTAAGAATCATATGACATATTTGACATTACCATGACAAATACTTAACCTTTACTCGAAAATTATGACAAATCCGACTTACATACAAAAATAGTGTCTATATCAAAATTTGAATTTTAGAAGTGTCTACGTAACACACTGTACCAGTATATTTCGACTTCAATGGTACATAAAACTTTGGTGATTGTAAATGTACAATACATTTTTCAAACAACAATAAAACAATAAAATAGTCTCAAAATTGTATATTAGATATCATTTCCGCTCTTTAGAAGAAAAATTCAAATTGGTTTCCCTTCCTCTCTCCTACCTTCTGCACCATTTCGATCCTCTTTTGCTGATTGTCAATTGCAGCATTCAACCTTTTGATATTTTTCATAATTTCCATATTTTTCTCTTCAATTTTCCTGACATTTTCTTCTGTTACTTTCAAACACATTTCAGTTTGTTCATTGATTTCTCCAATTTGAGCTGCCAACACTTTTCCTCTGGCCGCTTCATCCTAAGACACATTCTCAAAAAAAAACACCCTACAGTTCTACAAGACACAAACCTCAACAGACTTCTGAGTATCAAGCAAAGCAGCTCTCATTTGGTCATACAGTTCGGAATGCTCCGATTTAGGAATAGCAATCTTTTCGGCGTTTCTCTTCTCAACTTCGGCCTTATTCGTATAGGCCTCTTTCACAGCTTTGAGAATCTCAGAAGCGTGATCGCATGCGATTTGGGCGCCCTACACTCAGAAAATTACAACTAAAGTAAAGAAAAAAAGAATCCAATACTTCGACAAGTTTCTTCCCTTTCTCATCTTCTCGTCTCAACTCTCGCTTCATCTGCGAGGCGATGTTTTCGTGTCGGCGGTGCATTCTTACTGCTATTTCTTCCTTATAATCAGAAAGTAGCTTCAAGAATCTGTAAATCAGTCTAAAATTTCTGAATCATTTCCATTAAATTTATTACTTCTCTATCAGAATCATCGGATAGTTATCTCTTAATTTCTCGAGCAATTTTTTGTTGGGAATTTTATTTATAGCTTGCTCCCACATTGCAGGAGGTAACAAGAACTTATCTTCTGGCGTTACGGAGGTTTCAAAGAATGATTTTGCAAGAATGCCTTTCTCTATTTCATCTAGAAGTTCTTCGCGTTTCATAACCTAAAACAACTTTCACACAACCGGAAACCCAAATTCGGTCCATGTCACTTTATTAATCCTGAGCTGAATGCGATCATGTAGTACTAAAAGGAGTTCATTTCTTAAATCTTTAGCATTCAGGTGTGCGAATGGCTCGAACTGGCCACGATCCCTCATATCTTGTTCCAGTTGTTCCAAGAGACCATTAACAGTGCCATTTTCACCTGATTGTATCTTTTCTATTGTAAAGACATGAATCAAGAATAAGAAACGTAACACTAACATATATCACTTACCGTCCAACTCATCTTCAATATTTGTCAATAGGACTTTATAGAAGGTGATAACCTTCTCCCGCTCTTTGGGATCTTTCCTCCTTGCTAGTATTTTCTCCATTTCATAGTCGGGCACCTCCTCCCTAAACTTCTGTTCCATATGCCGGTCAAAAACACTACAACTTCACTCTTTACTCCTCTCCAAGTAGCCCCAACTCTCACCCTTCGCCTCCTCCTAACCACTTCGGCTCTTCTTCGTCCAAGGAGACAGCAACGTACGCAAAAGCTCCTTGTCCTCCTGGCAACGTCCTTGTAGCTACGTAAGTTCTCCCGGTCTTTGCATTTTTCGCAGCAGTACCAACATCAGCATCGTTATCCTCCAACCATCCTGGGGCCAGCATTGCTTCTCCTTCAGGCTGTAGTTGAAACACTTGAGTCGCATTGGCCACATCTACTTCGTTGACAGGAACTTTAAACTCATTGCCCAAAATTCCGGTTTGCATGCATAGAATAAGTTGTGAGAGGTAGATGTTACGTCCTCGTTTTTTTTCGACGCTTTGGCAAGGTTCGCCGCATAGTTTTAGCAGCCATTGCTAAAAAAGTAAGGTTGAGGAAATTTAAGGCACTTGGAGGGACTTACTTCGCAGTGGTGACGAATGTCTTTATCGCGGATATGTTTAAAGTAGGTACCGACGAAGCCGAGGTAGAAGACGAAGTCTTCGTCTAATTTGTTCTCGATCTCCATTTTGCTAGAATTTAGACGAGAGTTTGAAAGATGATAAGGATTTGACAGGTGCTTGGCCAACACTGATTTTCAAACACGTCTAATAACAAGATTTTTGTTTAAAAAAGACTGCGGCTAATTACAAAGATTAAGGCCGTTTTCACATGACGCGATATCGCTACCATTTACAGCGCTTGTGTGTGAGAAGGGCTTATTGAAAAGCATAGAGTTGTGGTACTACGCAATATAGCAACGATAGCACGTCGTGCGAACACGGCCTAACAAGGTAGATTTTATTTTAACCAGAAGTAGACTCAAATCAAGTAATTATACTTCGGCGTCCAGTCCGACGATATTTTACTTGTACTCGTAGTAGGCCTTCCGTGCTACCTCCGCCACTGTGTTTAAAGAAATTCTCCCACTCCCTCTGCACCCGTCGTTCTTGCATTCATTCGCGTTCTGTCATTCGCATGGGGGTGTCGCATGAATGGAGAAATTGGGAACATAATTTTAAATTTCACGCTAAGCATACACCCGAGATAGTCAACAATAATGTCAACCCATATATGGCAAAAATTGCATAAATAGCATACGCAGTTTTGTGAAACGGTTGACGATGGTGACAGTTTAAATGTATTATAATTCGTTGATTTTTGTGTAAACATCGCGTTAACCTTAACACAGAACCTGGATATTTAGGTAAGTAATATACGACTTTTAGTAAATTGCAGTGATTGGAGCCCGTGGAAGGTCAGTGGATTTTCCCTGTGCAACAGCGTTGCTTACCGCAAGAACCGCAATAAGAGGTTCTTCAAATTTCCAAGAGATCAACGAAAACAGCAGCTTTGGAGAACAATTTGTAACATCGACCCTGGCGTTAGATGTGAAAATTTTCATATATGCGAAGATCACTTTCAAGTTCAGATTTTTTAGGTATGGTCGTTCACTTTGTCCTTTTGCCGTTCTAACAGCTGGTGTCTTCAATGACCGGGTTAATAAAGAACATTCTTATTGTACTGTAGAGCTGAAGTAGAAACTAAAAACTTAGAACATTCCTCTTGTGATGCTACAAAAAGTTTAAAGGTTCTGAAATGTTATGTGAGTGAAACTTCCTTCATTAGCGAAGCCAGATTTAGCCCCTGCCCTGAATGAGCAATGTCAAAATTTTGAATTAGTTAAAGGAAATTTGCCAATATATATAACTAGATGAGGGGATTTCTACTTATTGCGAAAAAAAAACAAAGGTACGTTTTCTTTTTTGTTCTTCCAATTGTTAACATTATATTATTTTCCGTTTCTGAATGGTGAGAACAATTTATGAAAAATTCATCAGCTTTTTACAATTATCTTCTACTTATCATTAAAATTTCGATTAGATGAAGCAAATCACGTTTGTGCCTCCGTAAACTGTCATATGAAACTGGGAAGTATTTTTTTAAATGGAAAATGTGTTTAAACGACTATTCTCACCTGAGGATGACCACTTTGTGGTTGAAACACGTTGTGTTTTAAATACAAATTTGGTGTGACGGGTTTAGTCGTGTTTTTGTTCATATATTGAAATTAAGTTGTACATGAAAGAATTACATAGTATAGTAAAATTCAGGAGGGTAGACCGGTGCGTCATCAATTTCATTTTTTCATTACCAACTTAAAAGTGAAATAAAAAATTCTATCACAATGTAAATTGAAACAATTAAAGGGTCTCTAAGGATGGTAGCCTTGTATATTAATTTACATATGCACTTCAACTGCACCACTTAAATGTCATGTTCGAGTAAATTTGTCAATTTGAGATTGACAGTAACATTATTGTCGTCGTTGAAAGTCTTTTTGGTATAATTTGCAAGTATTTTTCGTTTATTGGTTGATTTCTTGCTTCTGTTCTACGTCTCGTTGCTTTCTTTTAATAATTCCTTACGATGAAGTAACTTCCATGAAATTAGGCAAAAATGCACTTGTGTTAGTGTAAAAAATTTAAATAATGAGGGGTCACCGATAAAAATTAGCCCCCCATCATCGTTTATTTATTCTATAAAAAATGGGGCCAATCTTATAAAAAACCATTCAATGCTGTTTTAGTACCTACTTTACATATTGTGTCTGCTATGGCGCAAACCAGTTCTCTTTAAATAAAATTGAGATATTTGAGGTAAATATGAGAGTTGTTTAAGAAGTATATTATTTAATGAAGTAATTAACAATACAAACTGAAATCGACGCTTTATTTTGACTCTCACATAAGTAACTTTCTGGTTTTCATAAGATCAGAATAAAAGCTTCTTAACGTTTATTGTTTCTTTCCGCGTGATGTAAGATGCGACTTTGTCTTGTAGACGTCTTGAATTTCAACTTTTTCTTTTTTCTTACCTGGAAGAATGCATAAGATCGTCTATGGTTTTAAACCCTTAAAAAACTCAATGTAAGGAATTACTTGTCCATGCTCCTTATGTTTATGATGATTCCTATTTATGAAATACAGATTTTGCGTCCGTTTTCTTCTCAACTTACCCACTGTTTTTTAGAAAATCGGTTTTATACTAATGTACACTAAAAATTCTTCAACCGATGACGCCGAAAACACAATCTTAAGTGAAATAAGGAAACTCGCCAAACGACAAAAACGTTTGGAAGACCGTTTTGAACGGCGAGAGAAATCCCAACAATTGTCCCACGACTACTCCTATGATAGAGGGCCTGATCACACTCTGCGCGAGGTGACGAGCCCTAGAAGGGACTTACAAAACCGTTCACCGAGCGTGACGGCATCAGAGGATTTCTCACCCGACACTCTTCGGCGCAAGAGTGACTCTCTGGTCCTGGAGATCACGACCGAAGAGACATTAGACGGCAATGAACCAGGCACAGAGGAAAACACGGGATCGGCACTACATGGAGACTTATCTAAAAGGTTTAGTCATGTTCTTCTCAACGGCATTTCAGATGCTGATAAAGAACAATTGCTTTAAAATTTAATCCGCCGACCACCTTAATCGAATTGTTTCCACCGGCTTTAAATCCATAGCTAGCTCCCTTTCTCAAAACAAGGTCAGAGAATAGTTACGTGGATTCGCAGAAACAACTAGGTTCGGGACTAGCAGCGCTGGCGGAAGCTATAATTTTTTTATGGAGCCTAAACATGAACACAATTCGGAGAGAACAAAAGAGCATGTCTTACGAATTTTGATGGATTCTGGGAAAATACTATGCAATTTATTTTTCCACATGACGAAAATTCCACAGAATCTCATTTTACCGTTGTTAAATAAAAACATTAAAGACGCGGTAGAAAATTCTCCTCCGAGTAATTTTCTTTTCGGAAATGAACTTTCCGAACGCATTCAAAAAATTCAAATGCTCTAAAAGAAAGGAAAGGAAATAAAATCCACGGTGCAGATTCCCGCATCAACTAAACAAAACAAACCTTCTTTTAGATAATCCAAACTCAAACAAAATCTTAAACGCAGTGCAAGGGTATAAAATACCTTTCGCAAAAACGCCGCGCAAATCACATGAACGAACACAATGCCGTACCGACCAAAATTTGCAACGTACATTAGAAGAACTAATAAGTATTGGCGCTGTGGTAAAAACCACACCATCAAGTCGTCAATTTGTTTCCACGTATTTCACAAGGGAAAAATCAGACGGGACCCATCGGTTTATTTTTAATCTTAAAAAACTTAACAAATGCGTTAGTTCAGTACATTTTAAAATGGACGACTATCGTACAGTGGCAAAATTATTGACACCGAATATTTGGATGGGCACAATTGATTTAACTGACTCTTATTTACTCATTCCAATTCACAAATCGCACCGGAAATATTTAAGATTTAAATATAACGGGCTTTTCTATGAATTTTGAGTCTTGCCTTTTGGGCTGGCTTGTGCACCTCTTCTGTTTACAAAAATTACGCGATCAGTCTGCACATTCTTACACAAAAAACTATTAAACTATTTGGATGACTTTATTATCATGGGGAAAACATAACAAGAATGTCAGACAACCTTTAATTATACAATCAGAACTTTGGAATCGTTGGGCTTTATTACAAATTATACAAAAAGTCAAGTCAAGCCATCCAAAGTCTGTCAATACTTGGGTTCTTTATTTGATAGTCAAAACATGACTTTATCATTACCTCGCGCAAAACGAGAACAAATTCTTCAGATGATCCTCGAAATCAAAAAACGTATATAAAACAAAAGAAAATGCGGGTGAAAAATTCACAAAACATGCGGGTGAACTGCTAAATCTTCAGTATTTGCCAGATTTTATAATAAACCATTAACGGATGATTTTGCTTTTGGAAAAAGCGTTTTGTTAGGATCAACTTTAAACACTTAAGTTCTGTTTTATATGTAGTTACCCTTTTTTTTTAACGTTGCGTTTTAATAAATCCTTTGATTCAAAACCACAAATTAGCACAACCCATTTCTTTAAACTGCTACAAGTAAAATATCTTCGGACTGGACGCCGAAGTATAATTGTAATCGAACTTCACAGTTGAGACTGATTAACCAATTATGCCATTCGTAACAAATGGCCGTTATAACAACAGTTGACAACAATATGAAGCCGTGGGTGAAAATTGGAGAAGAGAGGAAGCCGCAAAGACAGTCCAATGAGGAGTTGCGTCTGCTATACAGGGTGTTATGTAAATAGACCAAAATCTCTTAAGGAATTCTTCCTTCAATCAAGGCTGTTAACGATACAATGTATTATTTTTTTATGTGTTAATTTGCAAGTTATAACTTTTTTAATGGGAGTGATGAAAAGGAGCAATGCTCGTATGTATCCAGCGATCAAGATAATTTGTAATCGACTCACCTTTGCGTCCGAGAACGTATGTCTAGCTGCACGTGAAACGTCAAATAAAATGACAAGTCAAAAGGTAAAACGGCAAAATGGGCTGGAATTAGTCGCCGACGTACGAGTAGGACCGCTTTTTTTTTGATAATCACCTTTTTGATAATGCCATTTTACTTTTCGACTTGACATTTTACAGATATATGTTTTCGAATACAAGGTTGACTCGATTACAAATTATCTTGATCGCTCGATATAAACTTTGATGCGATCAGGGACGACGCAACTGGGGTGGTCCAAGGGGTGGTCATAATTTACATAAAAAAACAAATAATAATTAAACCAAAGTTAGCTTTTTGATTTTTTGATAAATGTTTAAAGTTCTCTCGATTTTGAACCAAATTAGCCGGTACCCGATTAAAAACAGCCACAAGTTGTACCTTAGTGTGAGTATTATTAATCTAGTTCAAAATTGTTTCAGATATCGAATTCGTTTATTAAAATTCCCATTGGACCTTTGTCTCTTCTACACTGCTTTGTTTTCTTTCGTAAATTCGAAATCCATACAGAGAAAAATGCCTTGTGCGGTAAGATACCAGGAACATGGAAAAAATGAAAAAAATTCTATCTATAAAAATTTCGAAGTTATGAGAGTTTAAATTTTGCACTTTGACTCTAGTCATTTCTGTTGGAAAAATAATTTTCCCAGTTTTTTTGCTATAGGCTATTAGAAGAGAAGACAAGGAAGCTGTATCTTAAATTGTATCTCTGTTTAATGTTATTTGTGGCTTCTGTTGGCAAAATTTTTTGTACCTAAATAATTATAAAAAAATATATTCAAGACCATGATTGTTCATTAAATAGACATAAAATAATGTCAAGTGTCAAAAAATAAATGTCAAAATTTTTTGACAGATTGAATTTTTTAAACATTTTTTGCATGTTTCTAGTGTCTTATCTTACTTGAAATTTTTCTCTGGGGCGCGAGTTCTGGCGCAAGAATAAGACCAACGATTGTTGCGATATAACACCTTATTCTTACAGCGGCAAAACGATTTTGAAACATTTCGTTACAAATCCACTTATTTTTAAATAAGTAATGATTATTTACATCTACTGACGCCATTGTTTTGACACTGACAGGAAAAAAATGATTAGAGTGTTTTTGGTCACAAAATACTAGATACATCATCTTAAGCAAATTCGAAGAAATTTCTCTGATTGGGTAATTTGAAAGCTTTTTCTCTTAAATATACTACAGTCAAAAAAAATTATTCAAAAATATTAAAAATCATACACGTAGGAATCGTCACCCAAGAAATTTTGGTCTATTTACATAACACGCGGTCTTTTTTGGCCGATGAGGTCGTAAACGAGATGGAGCTTTTCAACACGAACAGGTACGTAGGTAAGTATTAGACAATAAAAGGTGAGTTATTTATATGAGTCATTAATTCCTCACTTTTCCCCTTGAATTCAAAATGTACTCAAACGACAAAAAACTAACATGATTTTGATATAAGGAGAATGCCACAAAAATGCTGTGTCTAATCTGTACCGTCAAAGGTACACCGTAAAACGCCTACTATAAAAACTGTCAAAGCTATCGCAGAGATCTATGTTTATAACTTTGAAAAATTTCAAACAGTACATCAAGTAACATATAGTGGCATCTAAGAATGTATTTTGGGTTGCGTCTGAAAATCGGTCAGAGTCTTTATTATATGTGACATGTATGTGACTCAGTCTAGATTTCATGTAGATCAAGAGTACCAACCTACCTAGTCACAGATTGGGCTTCATATTTTTTTAAGTTTGGAAGTGAACTGGTATGAAAACACTGTGTACTACTTGTATGTAGATACAAGGTCAGATAGATATGCAGCTACTGCATTATTTAAGGTCT